GTGCACTATTTCTAAACTGTTTGCATAACTTCATTGATCAAACAATCCTGACTAAACCTCAGTTATTAGAATCTGTGATCATGCTAATTGAACATGCCAGTGTGCTGCACTAGTTTTGGTTGATGATTGCTAAATTAACAAGACTTGAATCTGCGGGCCAAAATAATCTTCTGGATATGCTGAAAAAGCCATCTGCTTGGCAGGATTTGTGGGAATGTTGAGGAATGTGTCTGCAAAGGAGGAAAGGGACATTACTGCTGCTCTGATTTAATGACTGTCTGAATTTATTTATTTCCTATATATGATTATTTTTAAATTACTTGATGGTCATCAATATGTGATGATAATTCTGGTTATCAGCATGCCTAGATTTTTTTGTGTTGTGGCTGGTTTTAATTTTTAAACAAATGAATGATTGCATATCAGTATTTTATATAAAGAATTGACAAATAGAAGCAGCTGTGTGATACTAAGCTATTTCATTGTTGAGCTTTATCACTGAGACAAAGGTTTTTCAGATTCCTGAACATATTGCACAAAATTGTTTGTTTTAAATTTTTTGGTCAAAGTACGTACAATGGCATAATAAGACGTGCTTAATATGTTTTAGATATTTGTGGCTTTGATAATAAATGATTTCTCCAAAAGAAAATAATTGACAGTAATTTGACTGATCTTAAGCACTATCATCTTATAAAGATATAACTGTTTTGAGCAAATGAAGAAAAGCACATGTAGCTGAGAATCTCGTTTATAAAAGTAGTTTAGACACTTATTTGATTCCTTGTCACAAACTTTTAACACAGTTTTTCGTGTACACAACATGATACAGTTTTACTAAAAGCACTGAATTGTGAATGTAGAATTCATGAGCCAAAAGTATAGACACATAGCCTCTTTCCTATAAGTTACTATTTAATCTTTTACATACTTTTTTTTATTAGCAATTCATATAACATCAATTGACATTTCCCTCTTGTTTGATTTTTCATCTAATACCCCCATCTTTTTTTTTTCCCCTCAGCCCTCTGATGAAGATACTCTCAGCCTTAATGCACCAATGTCAAACATTCTGGAAGAAGGTCAGATTATAAAAGAAGATTCAGGTCACCATATAAACCTAGTACAAGGTCTGACAATAAAGAAGAGAAAGTTAACAATAACAGAAATTCTGCCAACTATTCTTTATGTAATGTTATATGAGTGCCATTCACAAAAGACCTCCCAACCTATGATAGTCTTCCAAGTTTCTACTAACAACATGTTTAAAACCTGTGCTTTCAGTTTACCACTATATTTCCTGGAAAATATATGAAGCACCTTTATTTTTGTAGTTATTAAAAAAGTTTGAGAAACACTGCGTTAGAACATCCACCTGGGATGTGGGAGTAGAAGTTATAGCTCAGGTATCTGCTTCCTGGACTGACATAAAATGTACCCAAGTCTGTGTATCTTTAATTTTTGGATGTGTTAGTGACATATTTTGCATTTAAAATTAATTGCTTTTCTATAAGTCATATTTTCATTGGTGTAATTTGGGAGCAATCTCATTGACGTGAGCAGAATTGTTCCTGAATTTCACTTGTGAGGAATCAGAATCTGCTCTTGTCACAATATAAAATACCTTTTGCATTAAAAGTATAATGCCTATGCTCTATTAGGACTGGTCCACTGTAGTCCAGGTCTTATTTCCTGTTTTTATTATTCTTGTACCTTTTGCATTTAATTTTGGCTGTGTGAGATGCCCTGCTAAATTTACAAGGTTACTTAGCTGACTTAAATGCAAATCTGAGTCAGAAATAATTTTATATCTTTTGGGGTTTTCTGTTCTCATTTCTCATTAGTGGAATATCGTCAAGGACCTTCTGATATGATTCACATTGATAAGTCAAGAGACTCAGGAAACCAGTTTGTTGAAGGATCACAGCCCCTCACTGCTGAATTTATGAGCTACATCAAGGCAAGTTTGTGGTCAATTTTAAATGAAAAAAATCTCTTGACTATTTAAATTACAAACTTTGGCACGTTGCTTTTAATAAAAGAAGTGCAGTTGATATTCATCATCAGTTCACCCACTGCCACAGAGTACAACATAAAAAGGGAGATTAATCATAACTATTATTTAAAAGCTGTTAGGTCAAGTTACTGATCATTCTTATTATAACCTTTGTGAAAGGCATTTCTGCCTTCCCTTAATATCTGCCATTTTTGTGCTGCTGCATGCCCTTTGCAGAGACGCGTGTTTAAAGGGATCCCCCTGGACAGCCATTGCTCTGCTCCTGCTTCTGGCTTACCTACCTCCTAGAGGGAAAGCAAAACTGCTAAAGTTCTTGCTCTGATTGCGATGCTTCCTCGGACACCACAGCAGTATATTTGCAGGGTTTTTTTCTGCTTTTCACCGTGTTTTGGCCAAGGAACCTGAGCTGCCCCGTGGGCGGGTGATGGTCCCACGCTGCCATACTGCAGCTTCTGCTGCATCTGCATGACTCTGTCATGAATCTCCTGCCCCATATGGACCCGGACCGCACCAAGGAGACCCTCCTCCGAGATGCAGGCGCTCTGTACTTGCCCCCAAACATTTTCGGGGACAGGCAGATTTGGAGGCACGAGACGAGTTCGGACTGGTGGGACCAGCTCATCACGCAGCTCTGGGATGACAACCATTGGCTCCGCAACTTCTGGATGCAGAAGGCCACATTCCTGGAGCTCTGTGCCTGGCTCCCCCCTGCTCTGGCACACCAGGACACCCCCCTGTGGCCCACCATCCCCCTCCAGAAGTGGGTCACAATCGCCCTGTGGAAGCTGGCCACCCCCGACAGCTACCGCTCCATGGGACACCAGTTTGACATGGGGAGGTCTACCGTCTTGATGGAGGTAAGTCAGTTTCGGGGGACAGGCCCTTCTGAGTGAGGGGTTTGAGAAAGGGGGACTGCCAGGCAAGGGCAAGAGGGAATGGGGGATGGAGTGGCACTTGGAGGCCGCTCCTCGGCCACCGCTGCACTGATGCAGGGAAGGGGGGCGTCCTGACAAGGGAAGGGGTGGGTTGGTGGGGGGGGAGGTTCTCCTCCCAAGTGCTTAGGTAACCTATCTAACTACCTGGTTTCTGTCTATTGGTCTTGTGCTGCAGGTGGTGAGGGCCATCAATGTGGAGCTGCTGAAGAGGCTCGTTTGGGGGACCTGGACAACATCGTTGCTGGGTTTGCCGCCCCTGGCTTCCCGAACTGCGGAGGAGCCCTAGATGGGACACATCAGAATCCGTGCACCGCCCCATCGAGCAGCCCAGTTTATAAACAGGAAGGGCTACTATTTTATGGTGCTGCAGGCCCTCATCGAATACTGGGGACACTTTATGGACATTTGTGTCGGGTGGTCAGGGCAGGCACATGATGCCCGCATATTCCGTAACTCCTACCTGTACCGCAGATTGCAGGCAGGAACATTTTTCCCCCAGCAGCAACTTGCACTCGGGGACGTGCAGATGCCGGTGTGCATGGCTCATGAAGTCCTACACCAGCCACCTGGATTCAAGAAAGGAGCTTTTCAACATGCACCTTAGCCAGGCTCGCATCCAGGCGGAATGCACCTTTGGCCAGCTGAAAGGGAGGTTCCGTTACCTCCTTGCACAGCTGGAGATGGGCGAACGCAATATCCCGGAGATGGTGGCTGCATGTTGCGCTCTCCATAACCTGGTGGAGAGGTCTTCCTGCCGGGGTGGGAGACAGGTGCTGATGACCAGGAGAGGCAATTTCAGCAGGCATCATGACTGCTGCCATCCTCCAGGCTGGTGTCCAAATCCGAGAGTCCCTGAGGGAGAGATTCTCAGAAGGAGCCCACTGACTCTCCCCAGGGCTTCCCGCATGGAGGGACTGGCCTGGGCCACCCCTACCTTTCTCTCCACAACCCTCACTCTCTTCCCATTAAGAAGACATAGACCCGGTTTTCTTTGTAAACAGGATTTTTTTTATTAGAACACTAGCAGTACAGAACAGGTGTGAACTGTGTATAAAACACCTTTCTCTTCTTACTGTTCAACTGTTTATAAACAAAGTAAATCTGTCAGTCAAAAATAAAGATTTTGTTACATAACGGAAATGTCCTTCATCTGAGGTGGTAGGGGACTGAAAACCTGGAAAGGGGAAAGTGGGCTCAAGTTGGCCGCTGCTTCCCTGATCGCAGGGTCCTGCCACCTTCCTGCATCCTGGCATTGCCACGGCCTTAGGATCGGATGGAGCGAGAGCCAGTCCTGGCCTGGGCAGGATGGGGGAGCAGCTGTGGGGCCTGTGAGGGCTCGAGGGGAAGAGGGGGCTGGAGGAGCTAGTGGAGCAAGGGGAGCAGGGGACTGGCATGCAGGAGGAGCGGTGCCCGTGACAGAGGCAGGCAAGGCAAGGACCTCCCGCATTGTGGCACAGATGGAAGTGCACTGCTGGACCAGCTCAGCCAGAAGCCTGGTGCACCACTCAGCCTCTGCCTCCGTCCTCTGCTGGAGGGTCCTGCAGGGTCACTACATGCTCCCTCAGCAGGTCTGTGTAGACCCGCCAGTGCCTGTGGGTGCCACAGGTCCAGGATGGTGGTGGGGCGGGTGTGCTGCTCCCCTGTTGGGTAGAGGGTCCGGCTGTGGAGGAAAAGAGGAGGAGACAGCAGCTGAATCAGGACGCTTAGGGCAGAGCAGCTGGGGTGCTGCCGGGTTGGTCCAGTAGCGCCAAGGAGCGGGGCCAGCCTGGCAGCGCCCCAGCTGCTCTACCACAGGCGTCCGTGAGAAAAGCCTGGTCTGCTGGGAGAGCGGGGGGCGCACTAGCTGGGCCCTCCCCCAGCAGACCAGGGAGACGCGGGTGGCGGGACCGCCCAGACGCACCGCGGTCCTGCTGCCCGCATCCTCCGTGGCTTTGCTCCACGCCTCCATGCTCTGCTGGGGGCCCCCCCACCAGGAGACCAGGGAGACGCGGAGCAAAGCCGCGGAGGACCCGGGCGGCGGGACCGCGGTGCGTCTCGGTCCCCCGCCCCCCGCTCCCTGGGCTCCCTTCCAAAGTATGCTACAGAACTATTAACTATTCCCTCAACAGTGCCCTCAACCTGGCTATAATCTAGCATCTCATTGTAGATTGTGTTACAGTGCTGAGTTCATAGTGCAGAGGTTCCGTTAAAAAATTCAGAATGGAAAAATATGATCTTAAGTGTTGATTTGGATATCCTCTTGATGCTAGTAACAAGTGGGTTTAGCAAAAATGCCTGAGCTAACAGTCCACAGGGTTAATCAAGTGGATGGTTGAGGAAAGGCATTTTCCATCTTGATCTGCAAGAGTTGAATTTGTTGGACTCTGTAGTTCACACTGGCGATTTTATGTATTTTCCGAAGATGTATTTTGGAAAGATGGGAGATTTTAAGACCGGTATAAATTATTGAAAAATATCCAAAGCAGGTTATGCCACCAATGTAGCTAAATTGATTTAAAACATAATATTGTGAAATGGTGCAACTTAGAATAAAGACCACATCTTACTTTTAGTGGGTTTGGGAGAATTTTACATTTGAGATTGATCCTAATTTGTGTGTTTTGTAATTAAAGTTAGACATATGTACAGATTATCATATTTTAAAATAAATTAACATAAGTAATTATTAATTCAGATTTGTGGCGTAAATAGTGTGAGGATAGTTTTATTCATTGCATAAAATATCTGTGCATTTCCAATGGAGTGATCAAATGCTTTATTATTCATTTAATGAAAAATAACATGAAAAGTATAACTTTATTGGGGACTGAGTTTGGAAATAAAGCATATTTTATGATGAGGAATATTAGAGAAACCAAAGCACAATTCAGTGATACATTTGGCAAAATCAGATGGCATTTATTGATAGAGGATTCCTGAGGTGGATGTGCCAAACACATGGTGTTGAAAGTAGTTAGTCCTTTTATCTGTTATTCATTCCCTGCCAGTGCAAATGCACGTCCATTCCAGAGGGCTTCCATCCTTACTGGCAATTGAATTACTTGAGTGTTTCTGCATGTCAGAGATGACAGTAAAAGAAAATACATTAAGTGCCAAATGGAATTATAAGTGTCCAATGCACCTTTGGGAATATTAACCATCAGTTCATAATTATGGAGGCACCTTCTAGTGACTCCACCATTGGAGTTCTGTTCTAAAATGGGATTAGAATGAGGCATGCATTCTTGGTTTTTTCCTCCTAAAAGTAGATGACAAATTGGCTAATGCAGTTTCCTGCAATTAGTTTTTAAGAATTTTTTTAAGAGGTATACGTTTTGTTTCTTTTAATAATTTCTAACAGGAAACCTCTGGATTAGGGCTCTGGCTAAAATGTATCACTGGCAGATCTACTTTCATTGTTAATTGATATTGCTTTAAAGTATTATCTGTCTACACAAAACTTAGTAGAAAGGTGAAACATCAGAAGATATGATTCTTTTGAAAATTGATTTAATATGGTTTGTAGCCATTATTCACATTATAACTGAAAATATGTGCATTATGTGTACCAGCTGTGTTGAAGGGGAGCTGAGCAAGTGCAAACTATGTGGTAGGTTGATGGAAACAAACTCTTTTGATTGCCCCAATCTCACTCTGTGCCAGTTAACCTGGTTGACTGGAGGTGGGCACCTGTCATCATGATTGGATAATGAAGAGTTGGGTGAGCATGCATACAGCCTGACTGATGAAGACAAAACACACAAACCTTCGCCATGAGATGCTACACTTATCTGCAAGAATGTATTTTTCATCATATACATGTACTTGGTGACAAATACATATTTTCTTGCTGCACTTCAAATGCCAACCCCAGTGATCCACCTTCCTCATACATTGCCAATCCTCAAGTACTCATTTAAAAAAACCTAGAAAATTAATGTAGAAAAACTTTGAGGCATTTAGAATTGCTGTACACATGTCTAACACATATCTTATCAAAACAAGGAAATGAGAAATTGTCACCAGTTGTTTGTTCTGTTTGTCTCCACCCACAAACACACATCTTTACATTATTGCAACTACTGTACAAAACAGACCATGCACCACTTAGCAATAGTGTATTTTTTGTATTAATCTGTCTTTAAATAGTGACAAAATGGTCTTGATTCTCCTCCCACATATGACAATTTAACCATTGATTTCAGTGGTTACTCTTGATTTACCATAGTGTGAATTGGAGGAGAACTAGGTGCATGCTTAATTAATGGGTTATTTGCATAAATCAGAAGGATATGAGAGAAGTGGGGGGCATTCAGTACATAACCATGTTGATTGACTTATTTTTATATTTAAATGAGGTTAGTCTTTGCTCTCAATAAAATGTGACAATTTAATACAATTTGGTAATCAGTAACTTAGTTGGGAGTGGAGAAATAGCAATGAAGCACAGATCTTAGATTAATCAATTTAGAGTGGCTAATTGAAGCAATGAACTAGGTCAGTGCTGAGTCTTAAGAGGAAACTTGTTATCTGACTACTTAATGGCAAATTTCTGTTCTCATATTCAGTATAATATCTGTTCGCAGGGCAGAGCAGCAGAATGTGATGAATTACTGAGAATAGAAGAGGACACACATTGGCAAACAGAAGGAATGTAAGTATTCATTTACGGACATAATGAAATAATATTGGTTATAACTTTTAGATGACCAAAATTTAATTTATCTTTTGCATATTTCCTTACCAGCTTATTATGAATAAAACAATATATATGACATTTATATAACAATACACATTGTCTGCATTTTACTATTTATAGTGTATTGATTAACAGTGAAAATTGTATTAAAATCGGTGCACTTTTATGTATCGAATGCTGTAAAATTAATTATATTTAAGGGAAGCACCGTATTTTTAGGCAGATACTACCATTAAATCTGCTACTAGCATTTGTCAACATTTTTAAGGACAAAGTTTGACCGATGAGAAAAATGTTGTAATTTGATTGGGAAAGTACTGAAACAAAAGGATGTTTGGGTTTAACTTACTTTCCTGGCCCTGTAATAACATCTAATTCACAAAAACTATTTCAAGACTGGTCCGGGCAAACATAAGTCACTGAATGTACACAAAGTAGATGATTTTGCATAAAATTGAACTTTATTCACAGCCTGGCCACAATAAGAGCTGGCAAGGCATCTGTGTGGAGCAAAGGCAAGCCTTCCCCCCCAATCCCTGACTTCACCCAAGGCAGATGGAGGGACATAGGCTCCCCGCAGCGGTCAGTGTGGCTTTGCCCAATCTGGCTCTAGCCAGATATAGTTCTTTGTATATAAAAAAAAATCTTGCCATTTAGAAATGTTTAATAGTTTTAGGGATGTAAAATCCCATTTAACTGGTTAACTGGTAAAACATAGTATTTAACCAGTTAACTGATTAAAGGGGGGGAGGCACGCAGGGGGGCTGCTCCAGGGTACCGGGTAACCCATCACCTGTTCACATCCCTACTAATTCTGTCACTTAACTCAATGCTGTAACTCATAACACCACACATATCCTTTCCTCTACTAAAAACAGATCTGTAAAATGAAAGGAATTGATGTTTTAATATTTCAGTTTAACTAGTTTTCTTATTCTAAATATACATTATTAAGTAAATACATTTGCAATACTCACTTGTCTGTGAATAGTCAGAGGGGCACTTTCTTTCAAATATTGTTTTTAAGAATAGCCAGTCATGCCATACGTATATACAAAACCTATAAAGAGAAATCTAGAAGATAAAATATATAGACATAATTATTCTTTTTCTTTGTAAATTTAAGATTTGTTTAACTACATGGTTATAGTCTGAACAGTAAAGAGCAAGTTGCACTAATTGCCAGGTTCGTATTTTGCTATTTGTGGTAGCCCCAAACCACTTTTAAAGAATAATTAAATTAGTATTCAGCTGATGTGCATATGTGAGGTTGAATAATAATGTATGTAACCTACTGAGCAAGTTTTAATATTGGATTCTTGCATTTGGAGCTGAAATTAGTGATATATAGGTAGGCAGGTGTACATACTCCAGTGCATTGTTTTTATTTCACACCTTACAGATTAAGCGTGGATATTACAGAGAGCAGTGGTGTAAATCTGTATCCTGTGGATCCAGCAACAGATTTAAGATTGCAGGAATCAGCAGTAAAGTGTGTTTATATTCCTTTTTTCAGAAAATAATGGATTTGCTAACTTTCATATTCAAGATTTCTTACAAATCACAACACACATTTACATTTTTATCTCCCCGTACAGTGGCCAAATGCAGATGGAGGAATTTGCTATCTATCAGGTAGGTTTCCATTATATTATATAATATCCAAGAGAGATCCTGAAAATGGGTCAGTAATTACATTAGCAGTTGGGCTGCTAAATGAACAAAATCTAGTGGTCTGCAAGAGAAAAAATATAGCTTCCATTCTTTTCTGTATATCTTTGCATGACTTTTCATATCTTTTTGTAAAATTAATAGAGTCTTTTGCCTTCATTGGGAGCACTATACTTGTTGCTGCAATCATAGTTCTGCCTGTATCTGTCCTACTGTGCCAAATATTTCAAGTAAGAGTCAATAGCCCTTTGCTAAATGCACTTTTTTTTCCCCTTCCTATCTCATCCTTTTTAGTGCTGGAAAATTATAATGTAGCCAAAGAGCCTCCAACCCAAAGGTGGGCAAGAGGCATCTAGCAGGCCGAATCCAGTCCTCCACCCTGCCGGATCCAGCCCACAGCCACCTTGCCGGCACCCTTAGTACAAAGCAGTTGCAGCCGCTTTAAACAGCAGGCTGCTAATTGCTATGCAGCCTGGGCAGGGAGGAGAAAGCTTTGTGCGCTGTCCCTGCCCCCTAGCAAAATCCCTCAGCTCCCATTGGCCAATAGGAGCTGAGAAATTTTGCTGAAGGCAGGGGTAGTGAATGAAGCCTCTTCACTCCCTCGCTTCCCCTTCCCCTTTCCTCTCTCTTTTCCTGTGCTGGAGCAGAGCCACGTGAAGCAGCCTGCCCAGCACATAGGCAGGGATTCTGTGTCAGGTTCCTGCAGGGCTGCTGTCTGGGAGCCGCTGAGGTAAACACCTCTCAGCCAGAGCCTGCCTCTGGCACCCCACCCCCTCTAGCCACCGAGCTGTCTACCCCAGACCACCACCAAAACCCTCTGTATCCCCTCTCCCCACCTTGTCCCGGTCACAACTCGCACCCAGACCTTGCACCCCCTCCTACACCTCTCCCCTAGACCAGAATCCTCTCCTGCACCCATAACTCCTCCTGGATCCTGCACCTCAAGCCCCTGCCCCGATCATAAGCCCCTCCTTTCTCCACCACAGTCCTCTATCCCAAGCTCCCTTCTATACCCCACCTGCTGTCCCAGAACACATGCCCCCTCCACAGAAGTGCGGCCCTTGACCACTTACCAAAATTTTGGAGTGGCCCCCATTAAAAATTATTGCACACCCCTGCTCCAACTGGCAGGAGAAAGAGCTATGTAATAATCTCCCCCTGGACACTGTTGTTTTGTCTACACCAGGGCTACTCAACTTTGAAAGCCTGGGGGCCACAATGATACTCGCAGCACATGCCGAGGGCCACAACCTAAGTGTGGTTGCATGTACATGCAAATATTTATGCAAATATATGCAAATAGCTTCTTTCACACTGACTGGCATGAATACAAAGGCCACATGCGGCCCGCAGGCCACGTGTTGCGTACTCCTGGTTTACACCATGAAAAAATCTGCACTGGGATATCATTTTATCTGGTACAGCTTTTGTCCCCAATATGGATATGGCACAAAAATATATAAACTGATCAGAAGACTAGAAGATAAGTCTCCAAAAATTATTTTGTCTGAATTGTCTTTGTCAACACTGAGGGCAAAACCATGCAAGTTAAAACCAGTCTCCTGATGTGGTCTTTTCACTCTGGATGAGGATTCAATGAATTACCATCACCATGACAGTGTACTAAAATGTAGGTTTTAGAGTTGGCATCTGGATAAAATCACTTTGTACATGAGGATACCAAATAAGAGTGTGTAATTCTCACTCTTTTATTGCTATTATTGAAGAGTAATAACTTCCTATATGTGCATATCAAATCAGATAAATTTCAACTAGGCATTGTCTCCGATATCTTACTCTTTCTGCCTTCTTCCTACGTGGCACTTGGTAGTGTTTGTCCTATGTTTAGTGTATGCTGCTGTCTGGGGAGGGATACCAGAGAACATTCAGGCAATAAGTTCTTATACCATTGTGTTCCTCATTTGATGTATGTGCACACATTAATCATTAACAGTTTTAGTACTTATTAAAAGATCACATAGTTATGAAGTGTTGTACTACATTTAACCTCCAGTAATAGCATTTGAAATATGATGTACATTAATGTATTTATAATACATTACACAGTATTTTACTTTTATAAAGTACCATTCATCATTAATCATCTCAAAGCACTATATAGACTATTAAACCAAAGAATTAGTTCTACAAAACATTGTCATTATAGATATACAAAATTTGAATGTGACTTTGATTTGGAACTTAGTTTGATATTTGTTGCTTACAATTTGATTCATATTGAGTCCAGTGAATGCTGAGGAACTCAGTATTATTTGTTAAATTATTTGTTCAGGCATTCAAAATCATCTGTTGATAAACACTAGGACTGTCTGTCTTCATATTTTTATATGTTCACATCCACTGTTAGATTGCTCTTCAAAGTGTTTGTACAAAACCACTTGTAAGAATATGTTAAGAAAAAAGGTGGGTACAGTCCGGCATCCAATAGTCTGGCACTCCTGATAGTCCAGCATCATAAATGGCAAGAGCCTAGTGAGTGAGCTTTGGCAAAAAATGAGTCACAAGGTAACAGCGGCAGCAGCTGAACTGAGCTAAAAGGTTAAAAAAGGCTTAAAAAAACTAAAACATTACAGTATACAGTATACAGTATGTACAATAAAAAGAGTTAAGAACACTTTATATAGAGTATATAATATATACAGTATATATATATATAACCAGTTTATAGTACCTTCTGATAGTCTGGCATATCTGATAATCTGGCACCACCTAGGTCCCATACATTCCGGATTATCGGAAGTCTACTGTATTTGTTTCTGATCCCCAACAGTGTGCATAAAGTCTCATCAGTTGTGTCCATTGCAGAATGAAAAAACAGAGGAGGAACTAAAATTTCTGAAGCAAAGAGAATTGTTAATAGAGAAAAGCAAGACTGAAGCCAAAATAGCATGTGAGCAGGATGAGAAGCAACTACTGAGTCAGGTATGGAGGCGCCTGTTCATTGGTGTACAAGTCAAAGTAGTGTTTTATAGGATAAAATGTGACTACTTAAGGGGTTTATGTCTTAGCATAAACATAAGGCACTCATACTGCCTGAGAGGGACGAAGCTTAGGATGCACCTCTTGTCAGCATCTCCTATTAGCTAGTTTTTAGAGCTTCACACCTAGCATACTGGTTTTGTGTATCCTATTCTTAGCCACCTCTCTCTCCTCATTCATTGTACAGGGAAGCTAGGCATCAGACCCCAACTGTGTCCATCCCTTTATCGTTTCTCTGATTTTCATGGCTCTTAGAAGTCAAGCATTGCAATTCTGAGTGTCGTAACGCTTCAGTCTCTTTGTGAATCTGCAAAAATAATGAGTCCTGTGGCACCTTAGAGACTAAGGGTACGTCTAGACTACCGCGTTTTGTTGACGGAAGTTTTGTCGACAGATACTGTCGACAAAACTTCCGTCGACAAAGAGCGTCCAGACACATTGAGTTCTGTCGACAAAGCAAGCTGCTTTGTTGACAGAACTCCGTAGTCTGGATGCAATGTTACAGGCAATAACACCTTCTGTCGACGTTATGTTGACCGAACTCAGCAGTAGTGTAGACGCTGGTATAGTTTTGTCGACAAAAGTCCTTTTTTGTCGACAAAACTAGGTAGTCTAGACACACCCTAACAGATTTTTAGGGCATAAGCCTTTCTTGGTAAAACTCACTTCATCAGATGAATTGGAGTGGAAGTTATGGAGGCTGTGTGTGTGTGCGTGTGCATATATTTTGATTGTGTTAATTAGGCTTGTTGCATGAAGCCTCTGCCCAAGCTATTACTAGATTTTACACATGAATTTTCTGTAAATACACTAAACTGTAAGGTCCTGCCAACACATGACTTGGAGACTGACAAAAACCTCCTACTCACTGCATTGCTGGGCAGTGGGGGACAGTTGTCTTCTAAATCACTTAATTACAGATGATCTGTAAATGATTTTCTGAAGCTTTGTAATTATTTCAGCTGCTTTGCCTTTTAAACTCTTCAATTTGTAATCTTTGTTAACCTTGCAACACTATAATCTTTGTAAAATCTTGCAACTTTGTGACTCTCAGAAACTTTGCTTATAAGTTCAGAAACTTACTGTAAGCTTGGTGAGTGTTGAGCCTTGCAACTTTGCAATCTTTGTAACTCTCACCCACTTTGCTTGTAACTTGCTCTAAACAGCTTTCTCCCCTTTAATTTAAACCTTTAGTGGCAGCTCTGTCCTCTTTAGTTTAACCATATGGTGTAGTGTTTATTCCTCAATCAACAAATTTGTACTAGTGTAACCCTGGGTGGTCTCCAGTGGGAATTTTTGGGTAACAAGGTGTGGCGTAGTGGGGGTGCTGTCTGCTCTGTGACCCGGGGTCCCCCTGCGCTGTGATGGGAGATTCTCACTAATGTGTATTAACCCAGATGCCCAGGCTCAGCCTCCCAGGGAGGGAGACAAAGGAAGGAAGGCAGAGACCAGCACCTGGCTGGGGGGCAGGGCTGGAAGAGATTTTTAGTTTCTGTCTGGAATCATGGAGAAAGCAGCCTAAGCAGGGGGCTGGGATTTAAGGGCCCAGTCTCCCCCATCTCAAGGGGGGCTGAGGCATCCTAGGCTTGGCCCTGTAACTGGATTGCATCTATGTTGTGCTATATCCTGGAGAAGCAATAAACTCCCTCTATTCTACTGGCTGGTGGAGTCTGTTTGTGCCATTACGGGGGTGCAGGAGGCGAGGGAACCCCGACGCACCGCTACACAATGCTAATCAAGTCAGGGTAGAAATGGCTAAGTCAGCATCTGGTGTGGAGATGAGACTATCAAAAAAGGGGAAATTGCCTTTGTAATGTGTGTTAACCAGGTAAGATCCTTATTCAATTATAAATTGATTGTATTGAATTTGCAAATAAATTCCAGTTTAGCTGTCTTCCTTTGTAATCGGGTTTTGAAATTCTTTTGTACAAGGATGGCTACTTTCAAATCCATTACTGAATGTCCAGGAAGGTTAAAGTGTTCACCTACAGGTTTATGTGTGTGACATTTCCTGATGTCTGATTTGTGTCCATTTATCCTTTGGCACAAAGACTGTCCAATTTGGCCAGTATACATAGCAGAGGGGCATTGCTAGCACATATCATGTTGGAGGATGTTCAGATGGATGAGCCCCTGATGTTGTGGCTTATGTGGTTAGGTCCTGTGGTGGCGTCACTTGTATGGATGTGTGAACAGAGTTGGCAACAGGGTTTGTTGTAGGGATAGGTTCCTGGGTAAGTGTTTCTGTGACGTTTTATGTGGCTGCTGGTGAGCATTTGCTTCAGGTTGAGGAGGCTGTCTGTAGGTGAGGATTGGCCTGTCTTCCAAGGCTTTTGAGAACAAGGGATTATCTTTCAGGGAAGGTTGTAAATTGTCAATGATGGGGAGGCTTAAGCTGGGGGCTGTAGGTGTTGACCTGTGGTGTTCTGTTATTTTCTTTGTTGGGCCTCTCCTGAAATAGGTAACTTCTGGGACTTATCTAGCTCTATCAATCTGTTTCTTCACTTTCTCAGGTTAGTATTTAAGTTTTAAGAATGCCTAATAAAGATCTAGTAGGTGTTTGTCTCTGTCTGTCAGACTGGAGCAGAGACTTGTGAATATGGTCATTGATACCAGGCAGGTGGCGTATCGCAGCTTACAAAGTAGTCCCACCATTACTGTCAGTTGTCAGGCCTACAATATGCAAGTGAAAGCTCTTCATGTCAGTAATGTTGTGCACAGATTGAAACGTTTGATGGTGCTAGTGATATTAACAGAGCATGTGTAACATATCAGTGTTATGAAAGTGACTTTTCTCATATAGCATATTTATTGTATACGGTAACAGATCTGTTATAAGGACATAGCCCCTTAGCCAAAGGGTTCCTGAAAGCTGTCATCTCTAGGCAGGACACATGATAGAGAGGTATCTGCTGACTTAGAATGCTCTTTATTCAGTCTAGAGAGGATAAGGGTTGATTAAAACTCTGAGAGAAGTCCTTTCATTAAGACTTGGCCGTAGGCCTAGTTGGTACACAGGAAAGTCTATGCAGGGGAAGGGTGTGCCGTCTCCCATCCCAGCTTGTGAAAACTGGAAACAGTCCTAGTGATTGGGACCAAGTGTTCCGTGTTGCTTTATTTTTGTTACAGAATGTTTTTGTTATACTAAAGCTGGCCCTGAGGAAAAGGCATTTCATTGAACTATGTTTTGGCCTTTATTTTGCGTTCCATAACTGATGTAAATGCTTACTGGCTTAAATATCAATGAAAAATATTAGTACTTGTAAATCATGTTATCAAATATGCAGCATACATGCCAGTCTGATTATATTTGAGTAGCAAAAGAGAAGTTATAACATTATTGTTGAAATAACTTTGGAAAACCTTTACATCTAAATTAAAATAGTTTTGTTTAGTGCTTGTTTAAATTATGAATGCCATAATATATCCTGAAATATTAACCTCTCCGCTTATGAACCAACTCTGTATTATATTTGATTCACAAGGTATAAAAAAATTTAACTAACTTACATAGAGCTAGATTTTATATTTTTAAAGTCTACTGGAGGCGGTGCCCCCTGCTTGCTATGCTCGCCAACCCCCCACTGTGGGGGGAGGCAGCCCCAGCTTCCCCTTCCCCCCTCCCCCCCGCCACCAGGGAGGGCCAAGCTGCAGTGTTGCAATTTTGCCCTAGCTCTCTCCCCCCGGCTGCTCCGCTCCCCGCAGCCCGGCC